TTTTGAAATGCGGTATAATAAATTCGGAAAAATGAGTTGAGATGCGAAGACAAGCGGTCGAATAAGGATTTCGCAATACCCTGCTTGTACTAAAGGCCGTAAGACAATTTGGCAACAAAAATAGTATTTGGCATTTCTACCAAAGCAACCTAATGAGACTTGCTAAAAGATATTTTCAAGCATTTGAAATGCAGCGCATGCATTTGCATGTTGAATTAACGTTTACCCTATGGATCAAGTGGTTTACTTCTAACTTTATCGCCAGCGACCTTTCAAGGATGTGAAAAGTAACAGCTTCTAAATGTTTGACTTCCTTTGCGTGTTTCTAAAAGTTCAAAGCTTGTGTAACCTGAGAACTATTTTTTCAGTTCTAAAAACTTTACAGAGGATACCTATCAATTACTTGAGACAAATGCTGTGTTTTACATTTTATATAATAGATTCATATATAATCCACTTAAACCAATTTCTCAACTGTATTGATACTACGGTTGCCTCTCTTGTGAGCAGTTCATACTTATGAAATGAAGCTTGCTTAATAATTTGCTGTTCATCAGGAGAGTGCACTCTTGGTCGAAGTAATTGAATTTCAGCAAAAAATTAACAAACATGTTATATAGAGAATATAGCATTTTTTTGTTATGATTTCACCTTACACAATCGATTTTATTGAATTACTCATAGCTACTCGAGAGGATGTCAACAAGGAACAAGAATGCACAGTCTGAAGAGACTTGCAAACTTTCACCATTCCTTTGTTCAATCAGAACCTTCCCTCCCACCTCCTTTTAATTATGTAGTGTCTCAGCTAGAAGAGTCGATTACTCATTGTGTACCGATAGTGAGAAAATGCGAAGATTGGCAGCATTTGAGATATCCGTTTTGCTACACAGAGACGAAATCGCACGAACAAATAACTGCTTGTCATCTGTTTGCCTGTCAAGATGGCGCGAGTACATAAAGTAAGAAGAGGCGATAATCTTTAAGCAGTTATTTCCAGGCATGCGAACGTTCCTTCTCTTTGTCTGTGTGTCCGTCGTGAATGGACAGCAATGTGAGTGAAATGATGTTATTATTTCGTTTCAAAACTTGGTGTTTGAGGATAGCTTTCACCGCTGTTTCAAATACATTAGTGATTTAAATCTCGTTTTTAAAAGAAACTTGCTTTGCAATTATACAAGTATTTTGTAGCAAGAAATATCTTCATGTTTTCCACTTGAAATCCGAAAAGCTTTGCGGAACTAAATCAAGTCAGTCAAAGGTATTTTAATCGTTTGTGCTGGCTACCTTTGAAGTATTTCAAGCAGGAATAAATGAAAGGATTTAAAGCAGCATAGATTACAGACAAGTTCAAAATTAAGGGGCGCTACTTCACTTTTTCTTAGAAGTCTCTTTACCTGCTGTCAGCCGTCAGCTATTTGGAAATGTATTTACCGCAAGTACGCTAAGCAAATAGCAGCAACTAATGATGATGTCTGATCTTTATTGGCATTCATCATAAATCAAAGTTTTTCGAACTAGAAGTTTATCAGCATCATCCATACCATCTCCTTCTATCAAGCCCTGAGGTTTCTTCAAAAACTTACTGCATCACGCAATTTCATATGCAAATTTCTTTTCGATTTTCAGTTTCAGATGGCCAGTACAGTGACGGTGGATATGTGCAATCTGCCCAAACTTCGCAGTACTCATATTCTTCCAGCCAAGCCACTCAATATCCTCAAAGTGGCTACTATTCCAGCCAAGCTACACAGTGGCCTCAGCCGGCATATACACAACAGCAGAGAGATCAAGCTGGTCCACCTGGATCAAACCCAGATTCAACGTTTAGTGATCAATACCGGACGCAAAATCAATATGGATATAGTCAGCAATACGATGCTACTACACAGTATCCTCAGAGCGTCACTGGATACTCTGGCCAGACCGAAGTTAGTTGCCTATCTACCCAAAATTCAAAAGAAAATTACCAACGGTTTCGCACAGAAATCTCATTTTTGACTGTCCTTCAGTTGGAGATGCATAGTGAGTCATAACTCTATTGCGGGCTGCGTCGTATTAACATTGTGGGTCCTTTTAACAATTTGTAGGGCTACTCAACACTACTCAACCACTTTGGTTCTTTTTTTACGAGTTGGTTTAACTCTTGTTAAACACTTGTTATTTCAAAGTAAGTAGCACAAAAAGGTCATGCTGTCCTCCTAGTCTTGTTAGTCAGAAAGAAGCGAGTGCAAGGCAAACAGAACAGAGATAGAAATTGAAAGCCGGAAAGGAAAGACGCGCTAGTAGGGTTTTCGTTGTCATAATTTATGATTTCGCTTCCAAGGCAAAAGGAGTTTTCTTTAGAACTTTTGTTCTTATTGTTAGCGATGCGTTTCAGTTGAAAGCGTAATTCCATTAGGGCGTCCTTAGATTAGTAACTATTGAAAGTTATGTTTATCAGATACAAATTGAGAATAGTTACTCCTCATATACACAGGAGAATAACAAAGAAATTTTTTGAAAAACTCTTGAAAGAATACATCCTCGTTGCGCTGGATGTGTGGTTGTAATTTTAAATTAGCAAAACCTAGTGGGCACAAAGTTCAAAGTTTGTCATGCATAGTTAAAAATCATGCGTCTGCTTTACTTGCATTTCTTGTCTCGTGCCGTTGTCGATGGAAAACAATGTGTTAAAAAGTACTTTTCAGAAGAAATTACTTTGCTTATGTGCCCTCAAAGAAAGGTGCAAATCTATTTATAATCTTCAAAACCACTCTTCTCCCTCCCTTCTTCTTCTTCTCCTCCTTCCTATCACTTAGACAATCAGTTTACGAAGAACAAGAGTATCGTTTGCAAATTCACAGATGTTTTCTGTAACACAGCGTACAGCGTTTTTAGAATTTCAAAAGAAGAACCGCATAAAAGCGGCTTCTTCTTTTGAAATCGTTAACGCGCACCGAACAACAATGCTCTGTA